TTCTGGTTCCCTTTGCCTGCTGCTCTTCCTTCCTCTGTGGCCAACACCGTGGAAAAGACCTAAGGTTCTCCAGCCTGCTCTCAGTAGAGAAAGGCTGACTGCACCTCTTGCCAAGAAAGCTTCTTGCTACAATGAGAGGGGTGGTGTTCCCACGTGAGAAACCAAGGGAAAGGGATGGAAAATATATATATAATTCAGGAGTCTCCTGCTGCCTGAAGCGGCTGGTTAACCTGGACCCAGAGAAGGGTCTGTGCAGCACAGAAACTCCCCCAGCAAGCCCTTGGCAAAGGCTGGCTTGCTGCAGTCAGCAAACTCAGCCCACCACTGATCCCAAGGAGGGCTTCTGTCCAGACAAGCCTCCTTCCCCAAAATGCAGGGTCACCTTCTTCACACTGCTGATCTCTGCCCTCAGCTAAGACACCTCACCCAGGAGGTGGGAATGAGCAGGAACGAGCTTCCCAGAGGGATGAAACACACACACACAAACAACACCTGGCCCAGGGCATGTAGCCCAGGATCATACCCAAACCCCAGCATCCCCCAACAGGGCTTCCCTGCAGACCTGCGCTAAAATCCATCCTTTAGGTTCCACCTTGAAGGTTCACTTCTCCAGTTCATTCCTGAATCCTCATGACCAATACCATAATAAACTTGGGATAACCCCAGGACTTGAGGACTCCCCACCTCATTATGTGTCCCGCAGTGGGTCTGATCCAGATTTAAGACACACAGTGAAGCCCAAAGCGGTGCTGGCCCCACTGGCACATCCAAGCAGCCCAATGCCCAGCCCAGCCTAGGGTCCTTGACATCCCAGTTCCAAACTGGTTGAGCCAGGGAGGAGGCCCTGCTTGGGACTGGTGAGGAGCAGGCAGGAGTATGCAGGACCAAGCACCATCATTAGGCACATTCAATAGCATTGACCAGGGCTCTTCAGTGGTTCCCAGTTACTTCCCAGTCACCTCCAGCAGGATTCTGGGTTGCACTCAGGGGTTCCCAGTAGCCCTCAGAGAAGCCCAGGGGGTTTCAATTTATACCCAGAGGCTCTTGAAGGGTTCCCAGTTGCCCGCACCAGTTCTGGATTGCCCTCTTGGGTTCCTAGTTGACCGCTGCGGCTCCCTAGTTGCCTCCATAAGGCTCTGGGATGTTGCGCCTTCCCCTTCAGAGGCTTCCAGAGTGACGGTGTCCCTTGCACCTGTGTCCCAGGTCATGGGGCTAGGCTCCCTGCAGCGTTCAGCCCTGCAGGCACGAGAGGCAACTCTTCCCAGATTTACTGCTTATTTAACATGTATTTGCTTGTAAGGAGGGAAATTGTATTTTGTAAGTGCCAGGATTGAGAAAACTCTCCCTTCTCCTGGCAAGATGGGAATAAAATAAAAAAAATCCCAATAAACGCCCACATTTGCTGGATTTGGGCTAGATTTTGACTGCAATGGAACAAGGTAAAACCCCTGAATGCCTACAGTATATTGATGACATCAGTGTGTGGAGCAACACAGCAGAGGAAGTGTTTGAGAAAAGCAGAAGAATAATCCAGATTCTTTTGAGAGTGGTTTTTGCCATAAAACAAAAAGTCAAATGACCTTCATAGGAGCTCCAGTTTTTAGGAATAAAATGGTAAGATGGGTGTCGTCCATATCCCAGTGGATGTGACAAAAATAAATTAAAAAAAAAAAAAAAAATCACAGTTTTTAGGTCTCCACCAACTAACAAAAATAAGCACAAGCTTTCTTGGGTGTCATGGGGTTTTGGATAATGCAAATTCCAGGTTATAGCCTGATTTTAAACCCTTGCTGTCAAGTGACCTGGAAGAAGAATAATTTTGAATGTGGCCCTGAGCAGCAACAAGCCTTTGAACAAATTAAATGGGAGGTAGTTTGTGCAGTACCACGTGAGCGAGTCCGGACAAGATGTAAAAATATGCTTTACACTTCAACGAGGCACAACAGCCCAACCCAAAGCCTCTGGCAGAAAGCACCTGGAGAGACTTCAGGTCCTCCCTCTGGGGTTTTGCAGCCAGGAATATACAGGATCTGTGATTCTGAATCTCACCTACACCACCTACTTAAGCCTGAGACAAGGTCCCAAACACACACCCAGCAATCATGTCTCCCAGACAGCTGTGGCCCAGACCTAAAGCTGTTTGCAACTGTCACCTTCATGTGACATCCCCGTCGCATACCACAAACCACTGGAGCTCTGAACACATTCTACCACTTCTCCTATACCCTCATTCTAGCAAGAACAGAGAAAAACTATGACAGCTGTCAGCAATGTTTCCCATGCAGAAAAGGCCAAACTAAAAGCTTTCATCAGCCCTCGCCTTTCCCCGACAGCCCCATCTCAGCCCCACAGCTAGAGCCTAGGTTCCAAACACACATATGGGGCTCTGCTCTTTGTCCTGTACATATGTCTAAGCCTCACCTAATCCTAGCCAGGCCCGAGGTCCAACAGGAACGCTGCCAGCTATGGCTCCCAAGTGCCCAAGACAAAGATTTTGGCAGCCCTCACCTTCCTCAGCAGCCTTTTAGCAGCTCTTCTAGCACTGGGGCTATATACTTTGCCTCGCATTGAACCCTAATCCTTTTCCTGACCCTCTCTCTACCCTAAGCCCATGTATAAAATGAAGCCTTATCAGCAATGGCTGTCTGTCCTGCGCGAGATCTTAAGACATTCCAATCTTCATCAGTTCCTAATATACCCAGAAAGGGAGAAGTATAATAAAGCATTTCTCATGGAAGAAGGACTCCAGCACAGTTTTTAATAGTGTCAGAGACTCCATGCCAGAAAATATTTTTCTCTACACCTCACATACCAAAAGTATGCATATGCAACAAACAGTAAACTGAAACATGTATTCAACACCACCTCCACAACCTCCCCAACTTTCCAGAGTTTCATGGTAAAGATTGTTGTCCAAAACTCAGCTTTCATAATCGTCATTAAAGCATTTGAGCAAAATAGTAAATTTTTTAAATCCCCACACAAAATCAGTATAGAAGATGGGATCTTCCACAGTTTCCATTTTAAATTTTGTATGCCTCAGTACTGCAGTTAGGGATGAGGTAAAATACTTGGGATAGCAGGGATAGAAAAATTAAAGTTTACTACTGACTTCTCATTTAATATGAAGACGTGATTAGAAAGAGAGATGACATACTTATACACAAATATGCAAAGATGGAACTCATTTCTGTAGAGATTCCACAGATTTTAAATAAATGAGGAAATGAAGCCGTAACAAATGGCAGTACAAAAATTCCCAGAACATACTTAATTACAATCCTAATTCCATAACTTAAAAGGAAGTACCATTTATTTTCAGTATTCATACTGCCAGTTCCTTCTTCAGTGCATGTAAAAATTACTCATTTTCGGGCCTTTTGAGCAAACAGTTGTTTGCACATTATTAAGATCTAACATTCTTTCAGGTAATTTCAAGGTTAAAAAATGACATCTGTAATTCTAATGTGAACTGGAAAAACAGGAATTTCTTTTCCAGGTGTTTTCACAGATACTCAGGAAAAAAATAGAAGTATGATAATGCCTAAGCTGTCACTGCTTACAATTTTTGCTAACCAAATTAACAAGCAATGCTGCAGTTTTATTAATTAACACATTCAATTTAAGTTGCCCTGTGAAAAAATTTTAAGTCCGTTAATTTAACTCAAACTATTATATTCTTCAGAATTTAGTGTAGCTGAAATTAAATTAGTTTAACTAAAATAGTACAACTTCTAATTGTTAGTGCTTTCATTCTAGTTTATAAGTGACCACATAACTGGATGATAAGACAAGAACTGGCCTGAATCTGCTTTCATGAATCCACAAAAGGTATATTGGTAACGAAATAAATAAGAACAAATCTCCAGATAAAAAGGCTTGTTTACACTTGCATGTGTTGTATATATATGCTGTACCTCAAAGATGCCTTTTTCACTGGGAGATTTGTGTCACAAGGTTTTTCACTACAGTAAAACAAATCACTAAAATCTAATTTCCTAAAGGTGATGTCAGAAAGAGTGAGCAAAGTTCACAAAGCATATCGTGATATGTGAGTTATCAGGCAAGGAAAAAACAAAAGTTTACCCAAAACAAACTGGCTGACATAGCTATTAATTGCAGACCCCCTGCAACAAATGGTGAAATTAAAAATCAGTAGTCAAAAGGGCACAAAACAGTAGTCATTCTAAAACAGGTGGACCAACCTGGAGAAATACAGTTTTGTGCAGTTGCTCAGAGATAAGTACAGCAAAATCAGTTAAAGTTCAATGATTAATGATGAGATTCTGAAAAATGTCTAATAAATTCAGAGTAAAAGTTCCAAGGTCACATCAGTATTTCTGGAAATCCCATAACAGTTGTTTTTGCTATCTGGTTTTTCTTTTCCATACTACTACCCAGCCACTGCATACACCAAAGTGTACTAGCATGAAATATTATTATTTCCTAAAGACTACTGTGAAAATAAAAAATCCAAACTTAAATCAGAACCTTATTTAATTTCATCTCAAACTGGTGTACTTTATAAGATCCACTATTACATATGCATCTGAAGTATGATTTTGTTTCATAACAGCTTCTATGTCTAAATGTGGAAACCACCTACAGCTTTGCATTATAAAAATCTACTGTTCAAGAAGCAGTCTGCAAAGAATTAACAGTTCATGGTAACTCTTTCTTTCTGTCAGCATTAACCCACTGCTAAGGAAGCATAACACAGCTCCAAATGAAAGGGCATATGTTTCAAACATAAAATTATATTAAATCATTTGTGCAGATATTTGGTCTATAGATGGAAACAGTCTCAGAATAAATACTTACATCTTGCTCATTAATGTTCCAAGGAAAATAAAGATCTGAGGCATCCCCTGAGCTATCTAGACTCTTTAATAGTGCAAACAATGTTGCAGTGATGCCTGGTTTAACCCTGGCTTTTGCAAAAGAAATACAGCAACTGCCCACAGAGCTTCAAAAGGGCTGACACACCACAGCATTATATACTACAGTAGTTCTTGTAGCATTGCTAAGTTCCTCTCCATCCACTGGATATTGAGCTGAATTGTGTCGATTGCCTCTTTTACAGAATGCAGTTGAGAACTTTGCTCCGATTTTGACTCAAAAAATGACTTCACCTGCATGGCAAGAGAAAAGAAAGAAAAAGAACATTTTACTTAAAATCCACACAAATAGATTCAGAAGCAAAGGCAACACTTATGTTGCAGGAAATCCCTGAGAATCCCTTGTATCTATGCAGTAAGCAAACCTCTCAAAGGAGTTCCCAAAATGCAAGGAAAGCATTTTTTATGGGAACTGCAATAGTAACTCATTTGGTTTCAGTAATTTATTTTGCCAATAAACAGAACTCACTTACCATAATAATCACAGAGCACTCAAAAATTCTGGAAAAGGAGTATTGTTCTGTGACAAAGAACTCATTGTTGCAAGCAACCCTCTGCAGTGCCTTGGAATGAACATCACACCCACTCATCATCATCATTATCAATGCTAAACAATTAAAATACTATGGATCAAACATGGAACAACTATCTCTACAAAATTAACTGAATGATAATATTGGACTAAAACATAAGCTTGACACACTAACTTGTTAGGACTTTGTTAGGTTTCTAATTTCTAATGGCTATCAACTGTCTTTTACGTGATACTCAACCTCTACTATAGCTCCCTGGGAGTATTACAGCAAAATTCACAGGTTTTGTGGCACTGCATCACATTCCAGAGATTCAATAGCTTCCTCAGAAAATCTAGACCAAAATTCTATTTAGACTAAATAATTATTTTGGGAGACGGTCTTATTCCAGTGAATAGGAAACCAAAACAGTTTAAACAGGCAACTGGATTCAATTCGGTACGCACCTGTGCCACAGACTATGTAATCTTCAATATGTTTATGTATGTATTTGCCATGTGTGAAGTAGGGAAGGCAATAGATGTATATCCTAGCAAAAGGACCTCAAGGACAGAAATAACATGTGTTTTCTTCATCCCTCAAGTAAATGAGAACAGCATTGGAACTAGGAAAGATCCCTTTCTGGTAGATTAAGCCACCAACCTCAATCAGGTGTGCCTTTGTTGCAAACTGAGAAGTTGACCAGCTAATGATATTCTGGATAGTATAGGAACCTAGGTGAAACCTGAAATAAAACAAAAGAAATTATTTTTAACTGAGAGCCAGTTCAAGATGCAAGTTCAGTATAGGTACACACTCTTATTTCTACCTTTTTAATAGTTGGAAATCATTAAAAGCACTTGAATTCAAGTTTACAGATCTAATTTATTAAGACATACAAGTCTTAGAACTCCAAGGCTTCTAGTACCCTAATCCCTCTAAAAATTGAACTTCAGAGCAGAAGACATAGAAAATTTTCAAACTTCTATGACAGCTTAAATATTAAAGAACTGAGGACACCACACACTGAATACCAAGACCTGTGTTTGTGGCATGTATTCCAAAACTCTACAGTAATTGAATTTGCAACCAGGTTTCATTTCAAGCAACGTAATTTTATAATACTGGTTAATAAGAGCTTGCTAGAACAGAAATTTTCATCTGGAAGAAGCTTTTTTAGCAATGTGAAACTGTTCCAAATCAATACTAGGATTCAGAAATACAGTTTTCCATGTACTGTTAGCTTTTTGAAGACATGCAGGCTAGCTCTCCTGCTGGAAACCCTTCAAAGCCAGTTAAGAATAACATGTATTTCACAGAATCATAGAATCAACTGGGTTGGAAGAGACCTTTAAGATCATCAAGTCCAACCATTCCCCAGCACTGCCAAGGCCACCACTAACACCTCACCAAAAGCCTTGTCTACACAGTTTGTAAACACTTCCAGGGACAGTGATTCCACCACTGCCCTGGGCACCCTGTTCCAATGCCTGACCACCCTTTCCGGGAAAAAATTGTTCCTGGTCTCCAGTATAGACCTTCCCCGGTGCAACCTAAGGCCTTTTCCTCTTGTCCTGTCACTTGGTACCTGGGAGAAGAGATTGACCCCACCTCACTACCCTCACCCTTCAAACCAGCGCCAAGGGGTGGCACGGGGCTGGCGCAAGCCATGCCACATTGTGTGGCATATCTAAAGCAAGTGAGATTTTTTGGTTATTTGGATTCCGGCTTGCTGTAAAAAGAAAAAAAAAGAAAAAAAAAAAAAAAAAAAAAAGAGGAAGATGCTAAATGAATTCCCTGGGTCAGATTTTGAAGGCATTTGATCCACATAAATATCCTGCATCTGTGGCAATCATCTTAAAGACAGTATCCTTTTAATAGAAATCCAAATCAAGATTTTTCAGAATTACTATGAAGCTCTAGGAGTCTACAAAGTCCTAACAGCTACTGGTGATACTTCAAAGTTTATGTTCCAAGTAATTTCTGTAAAATGAAATTTTAAAATAGGGTTTAAAATCTTAATACAAATCATCTTGCATGAATCCAACTGTTTCTTTCAAGCATAATAATAAATAATCAGGTGCTTTTGACATTATGAGTGTGAAGTTCCAGCTACATCAAAAGCCTTACTTTCGTGTAAGCTTCTCCCAGTTCTCTTTGACAAAGTCCCAAGCCAACAAATGTCCAGGTAAACTCTGGCTAACAATTGCTATGATGTGTGAAAGCTCCTGTGTCGTGATGACTTCTCCTTCAAGGCTGTTCTGCATTAACCTAAAAGACAAAGCATTTGAAAAGGGAGAGGTAAAAACATCTCTTCAGATCTTCATGTGATTCTCCTGAGACTCTTACGGATTACGTGGAAACGATTATATAATAGACCAAATAACAAGCAACTTCTGGCATCTAGAACACAATGATGCTCCATTTAATAACCACTGCACTTACTTAGCATTAGTTTCCAATTACCAGAGAGAGATTAGCTCTAAACCAAGTAACTGAATTTTCATTGTTCTTGGAAAAGATGAAGTAAATTCTAATGATGCATAAAAGAAAACACAGAGAGGAAAGCTGTAGCACAAATCACCTAGCAGGACAGCTTTGGTGTCCTCCATGCAGAACTGAGATATGGTCTACAGAGAGGTATTGGAGCATAATGTAAGGTCAAAGTTTCACCCAAAGAAAGAAAGAAAGAAAAGGGAAAAAAAAAAAAGAAAAAAAAAAAACACACAAAAAAACCCCCAACCAAACAAACAAAAAAAACCCAAAAAAAAACAAAACAAAAAAAAACAAAATCAAACCCCCAAACCCTAACCAACTAAAAAAAAGAAACAAAACCAAACTAGTTATTATCTTTGTTATAAAGATACACCAATCTTTTATGACTCCGTAGAGCAACCTTCAATATTGTTACCTTCACCACAAAATCTGCAATTTTCTGTTACCAGTAGCACAAATCCTTGAAGTTCAACTGTTTTCTCTTTATGCATATTCAGTATCTGTCCTTTGAGCTACTCTGTTACATAACCTTGAAGAACCTGACACTTCTCACTTTAAAATAATTTATGTAAGCCTGTACAAAACATGTGGATAGATTTTCATTAGCAATCAGAAACATTTTTTCATGGAAGATTTTTAACACTTTTAGTTTACACAGCAACTTTTTTGCTCCTTCATACCAGATTAGCTTTCTGACATCTTCTGTGCTGGCCAAGGCTTCAATCATTTTACTTTTCTCTGCTTCAGAAACTGAAGAGGAGTACATCTTTAGGAGGAAGTCCCAGCCATCACTAGATTTGGCTCCAGCTGTAAATATGGCTTTCATAACATCACTAGGCAGACTACAGGGAAAAAAAAAAAATACAACAAAAGAAAGCAAATAAACAAAAAACAAGCAAAGAAACAAAAGGGGGGCATAAAAATGCTCATCTGAGAAAAGCAGCAAGAAAAGTCACAGAATTAAAAGATTAGCTTGAAAGACATGCCTCCCTCTTGAGCAATTTTAAATTTGCTAGACTGAACTCATGCCAGTCTAACACCTTAAGTCAGTGGGAAAAAATAAAATTGTTCTAGTCATTTGAAAGCACAGTAAATTGTACAAAAATCTGAGTAATTTTCTGTGCCTCAAAATGCACACGAATCCAGAGCAGAATAAATTCTGCAGGATTAAAAGTTATGCTCTGATGTGGCTACCAAGTAATTCTTGAGCATGCAGGAAATGCAGATGGAAGCAATTTCTGGCTGATTTTTAGCCACATTTAGTAAGACTGCAGACGAAGTCTTAAATTTTAGCACAGTACTCCCTGTCATCTTAAAATAGCAGTTTCTTCTACATAAAGAACAGTAAAAGAATGAAATGCTTATCGTCCATGTTCAGTTAGTAGTGTGGTTGGAGTTTCTTCTCCTTTTTTTCTATTTATTATTGTGTTGTTTGTTTACCCACCCACTCAGAAAAAGTGGTGGCAAGATAACAGGAAACAGGTAGATAAAAGAATTGGAAACACAGTTTTTGTGGTACCTCATTGTTCCACTAGAGTTCACCCACTTCTCAAACATCTCTGTAGCAGTTGTTCTACAGTTTCTTATATCATGGGTGCAGGCAAAAGCTAGCAGTGTTGACCGGAGCTCTCGTTCAGACAGGGCCCCATCATCTGTCCAACTCTGTTGATCAATTTTCTCTCCAAAAAGGCGCTCTATTCTGTGCTAAAGGAGGAAAAATTATTAGCAATGGCTAATTCTTCCCAAGAGGATTTCCTATATATATATATTACAAAATTGTCTACACATATACACACACACATATACACACAAAATTAGTTTAAAAAGAGAAAAAAAAGTTCAGTTCTAGAACTGTGGAAATTAAACGTTGTAATTTTTCATCTACATATTCCAATTTACATATAACATTTCCTATCTGCATGAACAAATACCAGGTACAGAGATCTGAAAGACTGTCCAGGTCTACATCTTAAATTGCATATGGGAACAGAAGACTAGTCTTCGAGCTACAGTTCAGACTTGTATGTAGTCAGCTTACTATCTCAAGTGACTATAACTCCTCTATGTTTAAATGCCTTCAAGTCTGTCAAGTGACAGTTCATACACCTTATTTTAGCACAAACAAACAAAAGAGCCTTTATCTATAGGCTGAACACCCTTCATGTTTGTAGTTTTCTACCTTGCCAAAAACACAGCTAGGTACCATACAGCTACTACATCTCTGCTAGAACACTTGAACTTAAATATTACCTCATAGACACTGCATAGCTTGGTCTGTTTATCACAGCATATCTCTAAAACCTTTGAATAAATACTAAATAAGGAAAATTAACATAGTAAGGGTTTTTTGTTTCTTATAATTTTCCTTAAGCACTCACTAGTTAATCTTAACAAAAGCCTTAACAAAAGCAGGCAAGATTGGCAACTACCTAAAATCCCCATCCAATTTAGTGAGATTACTAAATATGCTTAACTGTCAACACTTGAAAAGATAATGTAACTATAAAGAACATTATAGGTAATTATTTCAAATCTAATTTACAGAAAACTAAGACATACCATGAGGCGTGCTGCCAGTTGTTGTTCACCCTTTTTCTCTAAAAGGCTGTATATAAGACTCAGCTGAAACAAAGCTTGAGTGAGTGGTGCAGTGCTGCTCTCTTTGTTAAGGTAATCAATCAGCTCAAAGGCCTTTTCCAGAGACTCTTTTCCTAGACTATAGGTCAATGAATACAAACATTAAAATGGCTTCCAAAACAAAAGCCCTCCCTGAAACGAGATCAGAAGTGATGCTCTCCCATTACATTAACAGAGGGATAGGCAAACAGAGGGAATAACAAAATAAACACTTTAGACTTAGTCATTTTTATATTACAGCATTAGTAAAATCTGAAAAAAACAACAATGGCCAAATTTGCCTTTAATTACAAAACGATGTCTGAGAATGTTTATCATAAACAAGGGTACTCTGATACAGGAAGCAGCTGTCAAAGAGGCCATCCAGAACGCTCAGCCTCACCTGCTCGGAGGGCAGTGGTGTTAAGACGAGAGAGGGAGCCAGCAAAAATTTGAGATGCAAATAGCTTACACGCCTAAAGTGAATCACTCATTGACAGAGTACAGGAAAACAGTCTGCTAGGCAGATTATCAGACACTAAAGAAAATTGTCTTTCAGAAATGGTGGCTATCATGTGGCTTTTTGTGATGCAAATGAATGGATGCTGCTATAAAGAACAGGGAGATAACATGAAACACCAATACAGAAACATCTGTGAAATAATTAAGAAGAAATGTATTAGCGAATAGTGAACAGTTTCAATAGGATAATAAAGACTGAAGTAAAACTTCTCTGAAGCAGTCTCTACAATCTAAGTCTGATCTTCTCTAACTTGGAAAAAAACTTTAAACACAGATTAACTATGTTTTCCAATCTAAAAGTCTTACCCTGCAAGGTTGAAGATGTTGTTGATTAAATTGGCTCTATCTTTAGGGCTCAAAGCAGTATGGTTTTTTTTCAAAAGATCAATCAGTGTTTTCCAGTCTTCACCATAGTGTACTATGTAATAGCCATTCATGTCCACATTGAATTTTATCCATTCCACCTCTTCTGGAAGTTCAATGACAGCTAATAGACAGACAACCAGTTAGCAGCAGAAACAAACACTTAGCAACAGTTTGTTCAAATCCAAATCTGTGAAGTAGACTGGTTCGAGAGAATTAATAAATCCTTTTCCACCCACTAGTTCCCCCTATTATGAAGAAGGAATAGTCAGGACAAAGGTTCCATAAGAAGGCTCCAAAATTCCAGGCTATACTTCTTCCTCCTTCCTACATCTGACTGAATGAACAGTATCATAATCTGCCCCAAGATTTATCTATGCAGTTGATTTTTCTCCTTCTGTGCAGTCCTCCTTTCAAACCCCATGTTCTCCCTGCCCACTTTCAGATATATACAAAAAGCAGTTAAACACATCGTATAAAGAAACCAAGAAATGGAGAGGGCATTAATTAGATGCAAGGCCACACTCTAGTTTCTAAGTCAACTAGGTAAAAAGAAGAGAGACTTTGGGAGAAAGTTCTTCATTTCAGCTGATTCTATAACTACTGCCAAAAAGGTCAATTTGCATAGCATCTACAATGCCTTTGAAATTTAGTAAATATTCTACCTAAAACTCTTCTGTACATGTCTCCTGCTTTTACATCCTTCACATCCAACTTTCTACAATGAGTGAGGTATTAATATGATGAACATGAGACCACCAACAGAACCATTTAAGGTGAAACAAAAATTATGAAATTGGGCTACTTAGCTATTAGTTCTGGTAAGATCAAAACCACATCCAATTAAACAGCTTTGTGGGAAACAGTTTGTGAGAAAAGTTCTACAACATCATCCTCAAAAACTTAATCTGATCCAGCTGCAATATTTTCTCATACTGTTAAGGCAAATAAGTAATATTTCAGTGGAAAGTGACTTCCTCACATTTCAGCACACTGGCAGAGCAGCTCTTGCATTACCGGCTCTCTGGAAGACATGCAGTTTCAGAGATTTTGTGTGTGCATTTGGGTGAAAAAAGTACAGGTGTTTACAAATTCCAAACCTGCACTTCTGCTCCAGTTGCTGCCATTTACTTGTACATACAATGCTACAGGGAACCAACACTCTAACAATGACACCACCAGCAGTGGCTGAGACCAGATCTCTGCAATTATTTTGTACTACATACGGCTTCATCTTCATATCTTACTGAAGTGTGCGCTCAGAAACATCAGTAATATATAACACTTACATAACTTGATACCAAAGCTTGGAGACTTACCTGACTTCTGGTCCAATAAATATGCATTAGTACAATGGGTAAAGTTGCAGTTACTAGTTATGTAGGTGAGAGGAATATGCCACAGATAACTGCAAAGAAAAGCAAATGTTTACTCATATATTCTATATATATATATCATTCTTGTCTTGAAGGGTGGGGGTTTTTTGGGGTGTTTTTTGTTTTTGGTTTGTTTTTTTTTAATTAAGCATTTTAATATATTATTATTTCATGGCAGGGGATTGGAACTAGATGATATTAAGGTCCTTTCCAACCCTAACTATTCTATGATTTTATGGTTAACGGTATTAGAACCATAGCATGCTGTGGGAAATAATAAAGCCTAAATCTCATTCATGTAATCAGAATATGAGAAAAGAATATATGTACAGCATGTACAGTAATTATTTTTTTAGTCCTACAATATTGAGAAGTATGAAAGTTCCAGACAATCACAGAATGGTTTGGGTTGGAAGGGACCTTTAAAGGTCACCGAATCCACCCCTGCTGCAATAAGCAACTAGATCAGGTTGCTCTGGGCCCTGTCCAACTTGACTGTGAATGATTTCAGGGATGGAGCATCCACAACCTTTCTGGGGCAACACGTGCCAGTGTTTCATCACCCTCCTTGTAAAACATTTCTCCCTTATATCTGGTCTGAACCTACTCTCCTCTAGCTTAAAGCCATTACCCTTAAGCTATTGTAATATGGACAGGAAATCTCTGGCTGTATTAGAAGTATTATTTTCACCTCAGTCAAATGTTCTGTCCTCCTGAAATATTATATTAATTATTTTTTACAACAATTTTTGATGACTCAAGTAGAGACTCAAATTCCAAATCTTGGCAATAGAAACCAAAATTGATTGCATACCACAAAGACTGTCTCAAGTGAACTGTAGGCTGGAAGAATAAGTGCTAAGGTTGCTCATAATGATGATAAGGACTCAGCTGTTTAGAGAAAACACAGCTTTGAGGGAGATGAAATAAGTTGCACATATGAACTACGTGCATCTTCCAATTTTGGCAAGGACCCTTTCTGTGTAATGGCTCACACAGAGCACTCTGCTTCAAAAGCTTTTCATGCACTCCCCAAATTGACTAGAAACAGAAGAGTAATTACACCTAATGATCCTTTCCTTCTTCTCTTACCTTTCAACCACACATTATTTTCCTTCCTCCATATAACAAAAATAAAACAAAGCCCTGTAACAGCCAGTATTTCAAAAGACAAATCCTTTCATGGCCTGATTCTGTAAGATGATAGGAAGGACTCAGTTCCTCTTAAGACTTCAAATAACTGAATGAAAACATCAGAATCTCAAAAGGATTCAAAGGTTCATATTTTGGTTAGTTACAAAATACAGTAAGGTTCATAAGACATATTTGCAGTAAATTCATTCTTATAACTAGCAACTGCCACAATTTTGCTTTTTCACTGTTTGCATATGTACTTCCTTTCAGGTTTTGGTGCAGTGGATATTGTCTCTCATATATGTAGCCATTTGCTGTCATGCATTAGTGCCACCTTAAAATTTTTAAGTGAAGAAAGCTTTGACTCTAGCTTCTTAACTTTCCTCTGACATAGCCCAAGATACACACAGAATTTTGGCAGAAAGGCTCTTAAGTAAGACATATGCATCTGTATCTTCTGCAACCTACCTTTCTTCAGCTTCCCATTAACCACATAAAACTTCCTAAAAAGAAAATTTTACCTGTGAAATCTGCCTTATGGTATTGAATTTCTGTGCCACATTTTCTATTACCTGCCTTCAGAAAAAAATACTAGAACCCCTGAATATAAGTGAGAAATACGTACAAGATACAAGAAAGGTATCTGTAGGGAGTTTTTAAGGGATAAAAAGCATAAGGAAGGTAATAACCTTGCATCTGATGTCCAGTTTTCTGGTTCCAAGTGATACAAATATTTCTCTTGTTTTACGGAAATAATCCTTCCCTTTCGGACAACAGTGACTAAAGGAAATCCTTTCTGTAGGATCCAAGTTTTCATCAACTTTTTTACATCTAGTGTTCCATTGGTAATCTGTACAGAACAATCATAAAATAACAAGAAAACAGCAAATGGAGAACATTCCTAAACCTTCCTCCTTAACTTACCAAGTATGTAGTAGCATGATTCTGTATCTGTAAGCAAACACTTTGACACTGAGCTTGCAACTTTTGTAAGCAATGATTTAGGGGAGCAGCTGCTTTTTATTTTCTTAAGTTGAGGGAATTCTAGCTAAGCAGTGGAAAGACAAATTGGAAACATACAGTATGCTGAACCAGTATGTCATGAAAGTAGAGAAAAGAATATTACAGAAAAGGAAGTTACGGTAAGCTCCCAAGTTCCCTCCTACCCTTTTCTGTTTCCATACTGGTATTCTGATATTCTGTAGGTGTTTTAGATTAAAGATCTTCTTTTAATTCTGAAATTAACATTACAAATTGAATTAAAGCAAAGTAATTTGTACAACAAAAACAACATACCCTTTATCTCCTTTTTTTCTTTCCTCCCACTGACCAGCCTTTGCATAGCTTAACCTTCACCCTATTCTAATCTTTCGGGAACTGTTTGTACTAAAATATTCCCCACTGAAGGGCAAGTACTTTATAACGTCTACATATCACTGCTGCTTTATTAGCGGAGACGATCATCCAACCTGAAAAGGCAGTATGTCCTCTAACTTATAAAAATATGTTTTAGGTTGAGTTATCAGGAACATAAGAAAATTAACATATCATTATTCAATTCACATTTAACTTTTACCAACCTATATGGTGTCTTTCTCTAGTTTACCTCAGCAGCATCTTACTGCCAACTGTTCTCTGTTCAAGCCAACAGCAACATGTACAGTTTAACCTCTTGCAAAAATACTACATTATTTATGTAGAGAATGACCATAAACTTTAAATACTGGTTTCTCTCTATCAAAACTTTGAAGTTTATAGAATTTGCAGTCTACATGTTTTTCTGACTTTTTACCTATTCCCAGAAAACCACTTTTGGCTAAATCCTTTTCATAGAATCATAGAATAGTTTGGGTTGTAAGGGACCTTCAGAGGTCAACCCCCCTGCAATAAGCAGGAACATCTTTAACTAGATTAGGTTACCCAGAACCACATCCAGCCTGGCTTTTTCCTCCATCTTGTTATCACAAGCTATCACTGTGATACTTATAATGGTACTTTACGCAATCCTTTCATAAATTCCCGAGATGTCCTGATGCATGCTATCACTTTCTTTTGCCACTATCTTTTCCTTTCATTCCTGTTACACTTTGAAATCACCAAGAAATCTGTAAGATCAATGCCAGCCAGCTAGCAAAAAAGAAAACAAAAAATAAAAAACCCAAAAAAACCCCACCCACAAAACAAAACAAAAAAAACCCCAAACCCAAGATAAGAGGAATGTTAAGAGATCAGGAAATTAATTAAGTCTAATATTTGCATCTTGTCAACTTGCCTGTTTTTCATCTTAGTCTTCCTGTGCAACACTGTGAGCCACCTAAAGACTGTCAGAAAGATTTATGTCTAATCTGTACAGAGACATGAGTAAAACTGAAACCTGTTCTACTAGAATAATTCTAATCCAAAAAGGGAATAGGAAAGTGTACAAAAGTGTAGGCTACCTGAAAATACAAAATCAACAGCATTACCACCTATGCGCAAAAAAACTACACAAAACAAACCAAAGGCTCAGGCACAAAATGAGGTGCAGCCAGAAATGTACACAGAAGAAAAGGCAAGCATCATAACCAGCTTCAGAAAACATCTAAAGGACCAGTTAGTGGGCTCCTCCACACAAAAGGGCAACTTCTGGCAGATAATGCTGTTGAAGACTTGGTGTAAGAAGGAATTTGGCAACTATTAAATTTGCACTAGATACAAATGGTTGTTTCTCATTAAAACAAGAAATACACACTGAGTTCTGATGTTAGAGGTTACTAGATTGGTTGGATATGATGACTGAGGTTCCAAAAGACCAGAGGAAGAGGTCTGCTGAGTTTGCAGAAAAGCTGACCTTGGCCCATGGGCAAACAGTAGAATTGTAATAAAAACCTCCTTCGTTCTGAGACAGGGAGACAGACTAAGCAAGTAATCTAAAGTTTTGAGAATAACACTTTTCTCATTCTCTAGTAACAGTTAAACACTGCATCCAGTAGCAGTTAAGCCCCCACATTTAATTAACGTAAGGCATATGTGTGGTCTTTCTAGCCACTCTATGTGGATACTACCATGTCCGTGAGGTATGTTTTCTATGTATACATGACTGAAGATGTATGGTCAGAAGGCTCCATTTTGCAGAGGTTGAGGAAATGTCTATTTAAAAAAAAAAATTTAAAAAAATCACTATACAAACTAGAAGACTTCTCTGTTATAAGAAAGTCATAGTCTGATGTCACTGACAATCCCACACTAGCTGGCAAACTAGTGACTGTGTATGATTAAACACACACATTTACGGCCACTTGTGACAGCTGACAAGAAGTAACAGAGGTTCCCATTCTGCAGAATTTCAAATATCACAAGGTAGATGTCAAGAACCGAAATTAAACATTAAGTTAGTATTCTGCCTAGCTCTCAGCTTCTGTAGGGGAACCTCACATGTATTTCTGAGACTTTAATACATACTGTGCAGTACACACAGCGGGAAATCTGTTTCCTTCCCTTACACAACTACCTTGACACTCCCTTGGGAATACTCAGCAGCTCTTTCTTGTTTGGATCAGTCTTTCTCTTGCACTCCCACTGAGACACATGTTTTCCCTCTCATCCCCTGCCCCAGTGCTCTCTCCATTGCACTTCTCCCCCTTCACCCCTCTTTCTCCCTTTCTCCCTTCTGTTGTCTCTCCCTCCTCCTTCATATGTTCTCTCTTGCCCTTGCTTCTCCCTGGCTCCCAGAGGCTTGCAAACTCCCGCCCTTGCTCTCTCCTGCCTGTGCCGTTGCTTTCTTCTGCACTTAGTCTCTGCCCTCACACCCACTTTTAATGGTTGCCTTACCATTTGAGAGCTGCTGAACTAAATTGTCCCCCACAATCTGTTTTCCTACAATTCCAGCTCTGCTTCTTGAAACAGAACCTATCACTGAAATGAAGTTAGACTAGTAGAGTGTATCCCAAGACCTCTACAGAGATTGGATTATTGGAAAGTAAAGTTTTGTCCTGCATTTGAGATATTTTTATTCTGGTCTTAATACACTGACAATGCAGCTCGAGAAAGGATATGTACATACTGATGTATACACACGTGTGGATATGCATGGTAGTGCATTCCCACTTCCAGTACTTTTTTTGGATGATACTCAGTGGGGTCCTCGAAGCTACAGGAATATCCATATCTGTACAAGCAAGAACTTCAGAGTATTTACCTGCAATCTATTATCTTATTTCTTTCACAAACAAAGAAATAAATCACATTTACAACAAACAAGAACAGCATATCAAAGATGGATACCTCATTCATGCTGTCCCACAAGTCATCACTCTGGGCACATCCATAGTTGTGATTATGCAAGTATACCTCAATTCCAGCTTGGAACACATCCTTAGTGAGATAGTGCTTCAGCATCAAAAGAAGTGAAGCGCCCTTC